CAGAAAGGCAGATGTGGCAGTGGAAGGTGTCAAAGCAGTTTGGAGAGAAAAACATAGTAAAGAACAAAAAAAAACGATTAATCGATTATTAAATTAGTCATCGATTATTTTAATAATCGATTAGTCATCGATTAATCGTGGCAGCCCTAGTAATGACCTGCTTTTAACTAGATTCTGGTGCTTCTGCTGTTTTAATTCTTCTAGATCTCACTGCTGCCTTTGACACAGTGGATCATGAAGTTTTAATATCTCGTTTGGAGCAGTCGGGGTGAAAGGCTCAGCTCTTAAATGGTTTGAGTCCTACTTATCTGATAGGAGTTTTTCTGTACATATTTGAGATTTTTATTCCTCAGAGGCTCCTCTTAAATGTGGGGTACCTCAAGGCTCCATACTGGGCCCCATGTTATTTTCTTTTTATTTGCTCCCGCTGGGGTCCATCTTCAAGAAATACAATGTGTCATTTCATTTTTATGTAGATGACATTCAGTTTTATTTACCTTTTAAGATCTGGTTGACCTCAGGATATGGAGAATCTGCAAAATTGCTCAAAGGACGTTAAAAGTTGGATGAAGCTAAACTTTGTCTAAATGAAAATAAAACAGAGTTCATTGGGTTTGGCAAAACTGACCTGCTGGTAGGATTTAACAGTGCTGTTGGCTATTTGGATTTTGATTGTTGCTTTATTAAGAATCTTGGAGTTCTTTTAGACAATAACTTTAAATTCTGTATTGTACTGTACTGTGAGTCTGATTGTGTTTAGGCCAGTGGAGAAGGCTTTGCTGGCCCTGACGGCACACCACTGGTTAAACCCTATAACTCAAAGAGGATAGTCTATTTTTTCTTTTTGTTTGACTAATCGTGTGTTTGGTCTATAGTTGCAGCTGAAACAGGCTATCAGACTGGGTTCTCCTCCTTCACTGATGTGTGTGAAGAAGACCGAAGATGCTGGAGCCGTGTCTGAGGACGACGGTCTACCCTGCAGCCCACCTGAATGCACACCTGTCAGGGTAAGACACACACAGCCTCTGTAAGCTCCTGCTGCAGGAGATGTCTAATCATCATCTCCTCTAATAATCTTCTAGAACCAGGCTCAGAGGAGCAGCTCCAACAGCCTGCAGGGGTTAGACGCCGACAAGGTAAACACACACTGAAGCTTCAACATGTGGTATTTCCTCATTAAAACGTCACACACTGATAAGAAAACATAGTTTTAGTTAAATGCTGCTACATGTACATTGATCAAACATTTTAAGATCTAATTAAAAACATAAACAAATCCTCTTCTTATTAACTGGGTTTGAGACATGAGACGTAAAAACGTACAATTTTTTTTAAACATTAAAAACACCTAAATGAGCTAAATTTAGGGGCACTGGTTATTTTTTCACTACAGGTTTGACAAGTTAATGATATAAAAACAGAGGATAGAGAACAGTTCTGCAAATCCGCTAACATAATAGCAAAGCTAAGTTTTTTTGTTTAATACATTAGCGTTTTACTAACTTTAGAAACCGTTAGTGGACCAGTTAGCTTCTGCTAAATATAGTTCTGCTTAGTTTTAAGTCAAAAACTAAACCAACTATAACCTCACATGTTGCACTGCACTCCATGTGCCTTACGCACAACCTCTGATGAAAAGAAATTGCAAAAGTTTAAAGGAGACCTATTATGGTGGTCCTAGAACAAGTTAGGATCCATCTGTGGGCTCTTCAAAACATGTTCATTTGATTTAATTCACAAAATTAATCTCAGATAATGAAATTTCACCTTTTCATTTCTTCCTGTTCTGAGCTCTCTTCAGAACCTGCTGCTTGCATGAGTTGCTATGGAACCCCCCTCCCAACCTGTTATTCAGTTAAAAACCACCTATAAAAGTACTTTAAAGTCCGACTGTAACCGAAGCAGCTCTCCTGTTGCTGCCCAGCCTCTGGCTGCTTCGACACAGATAGGGCAGCTGGTACCGATAGATGCAGGAGAAGGTGGAGAAACGGTCCAGGAGCTCAGCTGGTCACTTGTCGAAGGTGATTCTGAACAGAAAACCTACGATTAGCCTTGAATACGGTCATAATTAATTACTAATTACAATAAATGTAGAGCTGAGCTGTTGTTTTTAGCCTGGATCGCTAACTAGCAATAGCCGCTAGCTGCTAACTAGTTAGCATCGGAAATGAGCACGCACAGGACACATCGGAACAAACGTTATAAATAAAAGGTACAGCTTCACAGGCGAGACATGTGTCCCATAAAATATGTTCAATGTCTCACTAAATGCATGAAGCACTCACCGTCTGCAGATGAAGTTTGTGACGAGACCAGTCTACTGTAGCAGCAGCTAACTAACTAGCTGGTACATTGATGATCATGCGTCTCCATGACTCCATATTAACGTCGTGCGTTTAATCTAACCGTGCACGTCACTGAAGAGGTGTTTACTACATTCAGCGATGACGAAAACGGGATGTTTTTTAACGTCAGTCAATATAATCAGCGGATTTGGCACCCGCTGCTGTGTAGGGGTCACCTCGAGTGAAGAAACAAGATTTAATGCCTCGAAGCAGGCCTCGGACTGGCCTGGCGAGAGGACAGGAACTCTGTCACAAACTGAACTCTGTTTAGGCCATGACAGGTCATTCTAACCATGGAAGAGAACCCCTCAGTTCTCTTAATCAGATAATGGACAGAACAATCTCTTCTGTTCGTGATTCATTTGTTGTTTAACTAAGAATGTTTATGCATTTGTTAAATCATGATAATGACTGTCACAGGAAAAGTGGAACCACTTCTTTTCTTTTATCATGCCTTAAAGATTTATTATGGTATAAAAAATCACAGAGAATCTGATTACAATGTTTTCATTGTGTTTTTATGTAAATCACTGTTTTTATTTTACTGTGAACACAGTAATATAATTGTGGATTTTTCCTGAGAAAATCTTTCATTTATCTGGACTAACAGAAGGTTCAGAACTGATTATAAAACAGAAATGTTAATTAATCATCATAAATGTTTTGCAGTGATTTCTCTTAGAGTCCACCAGAAGAAAGCTGAAAAGAGGTTATCATATCATGTTGTTGAACAACCACAGAATTTTAACCTTGGGCAGGCGCTGGCTGGCAAATCTTTATCTTTCTACTCTGACTCATCTCTAAGCCTGAGGGCGTAACCAAAGTTTGTCCGTTTTTTTTACTTACCCGGACAGCTTTGAGCAACACACTCTTCTTCCTGATTCCAACTGAGGAAGACAGCTGGGTTTCTCTCCGGAGAAAAACCCAGTTTGGCTTTAAGTCTGATCCCATGAGCTAACTAGGGGAGACTAAACAGCCAGGGACCCAGCATGCCAGCCGGTGGTTCCAAATCAAGGCTTCAAGCCTCTGAGTGTTTTTTARCTCCCGAAGGGAGATTTTATTTTGGAAAGAAGGGACCGGATACGGCTTGAATTTTTCTGGCTTGGACTGAAACAGACGCAAGTTACCAGTGAACACACCTACTCGCCAATGGCCAGTAAGGGAGCCGACATCAGTTCCCTGACTAATCGGAGGCGAGCCAGCTCCTACCCCGAGGGTGCCTTAATAAGTCATCATCAGGTAAAAGCTGATGTGTTCGGAGTGACGTGTCATGTGGACCCTAAGAGCAGAAAAGACATGCAGTTCCGGTTGACCCACACTTTGATAAAAGTAGTAGTAACATCCTAATCTTATTTTCCTCCTTTCCTTGTTCTTAATTTGCCAAAACTTTAGCTAAAAGTGCCAGTAAAATTGTTTGGTTGTTAACATCAGAACTGACGTTTTTACTGTTCTATATAAATAATCTGAGTTGATGTGAATTGAAATTCGGACGCGGGTTTTATCTCATTTAACTCTGACGCTTGTTATAGGAATAACCACAATCAAGTTTAACTTATGATCTGTTCAATTTGTGTAAATAAATGATTGCATAGTCTTTAATGAATCAACTTGAACGCATCTGAACGTTCACTGATTGTGTCACTTTTCACTTCGCACAGTCAAGATATTAACAAGTAATGAGAAATACCTTGGTAAAAGTTTCCTCATAACCTTGTGTATGAGAGATGTGGGAAAAGCTTAATGCCACCTTAAGCCCCCCTCCTACAGCTGCAACAAACGGCTCAGAATGCTAACGCACATAGCGGTGCTGCAAGGAAAAGTGTCCCCCAAGAAACACTGGCCGGCCACGAGCGGAGTCTCTGCTTGGGTTACGAGTTGGGCTCAGGTTGGTGTGGGCTGAGTCCGGCCTGTGATTTCACTGGCCGCAGGAAGTTGAAAACTTGTCATTAATATACATGAAAAATGCATTTATTTAGAGTAAATACTGTATACCCCTGGGTGCATTTTTTTGGTCCTAGGACTGTTTTTTTAGAAGTACATATCCAAAGTTGAGTAAAAAAAAACTTTAAAAAGTGAATTTTGCATAATAGGTCCCCTTTAAGTAAAACACAATCAGAACCCACTGCTCTAAAGTATGAGACACTTTTAGTGTAATTTATTTAATCTCTGTTTATTAAACCCAGACTTCTGTTTCACATCTAAAAGTGGATTAAAAACTTAACTAAACTTTTACTTTTAGAGTAGATTTTGTCTAATTTTAGACAGTGTGTCATGTGATTATGGTGGTAAACATCCTATAATTAGATTTAAATATGAAACCACAGCTTCTGGTTTTAAATAAAATTGTTCTTGGTGCACATCGATCTGTCAGCTCCTCTCGTCCATCTGTTCTTCTGCCTCAGGCTCTTCTCTGTCCTCCTTTCTTTTTCTTCGTCATGTTGCTGTCGCTCTGATCTTCAGTCTGATCCCACAACAAACCATCCCAGGTGCTCACAGATATGAGTGAAAACAACAGAAATTAGATTCTTTTTTTAGGACAAGGACTGTGGAGGATGGTTGTCTGATGAACCAGATGCCCTGAAAACCTCCATCATTCATTTAGTCTTCTGGGCTGTAATGTGGGCACCAGGCCCCGGCCACTAAAATATGACAAATGAGCACTTAATGATAGTGCAGTTTTGGCAGTTTCCAAAGAGCTTTGGCTGACCATTCTCCATCTGGAAAGAGCGACATATGGGCCGGCTACAGAGACTCAGAAATGTCCCTTTTAGAGTCCAGGAATGTGGTCCTGGAGGACTGTAGGAACCTTTGAAGTCCATCAACAATGAACTCTTTTCCTTCTAAAACTATTGTGATTATTACAAGCAGGGGAGATCAGAAAGACACTCATCATGGACATGCATATTAGTTTCAGGTTGGTAATGATTATCTAAATAGTTTTCTTAAAAGAGTGAAATAATTTAACTTCACTGATTCAGTGATTAAGTTTGAAATTATTGTAAATTTGCATAAAGCTCCAGTTTCAAGCATCATACTGTGGAGCACAGAGTCATGAAGGTCGACCTCCAAACTCTTCATCTTCACCTCAAATCAACTGATAGACACCTGGAAGACCTGATCCCCTCTGTGGACCAGTCTGGACCTCAGGACAACTAAAGACCTGATTACCTCTGTGGACCAGTCTGGACCTCAGGACAA